GTCTAGACTCTAGACTCTACAATCTGTCACCTCTCTCCCGCACCCACCCATCCACACTGATGCATCTCATCCTAATTTCTTTCCCTCTTCGCCCTCCACTCTTATCATTGGAGTCTTCAATATTCACCTTGATGTTCCTTCTGATGGCTCCCAAGCCCCCCTCTCTTTCTCTCTCTCATCACCTCCTTTGATCTTCACCTTCACTCCATCTCTGGCTGTGTACTTGATCCCTTCTTCCTGAGAAAAAAAGCTGTCCCTCTCTACTTCTGAAAAGACTGCCACTTCTCCGAGTCTTTCCTCTGCCATTTTCACTTTCTCTTTTTGCCACTTACAATAACACCCAAATCCACCAAACAGTGATACCTTTATGGGAACAACCAAATGCAAAAATAAAAAATAAAACACATGCTGCAAGCTTTCAAAGCTCAAGAGGAGCATCTCTTTTTGTCATGGGAATGGAACTTAACAATTCTTTCTCTCCTGAAATACCCACATGGCCAGAAAAAGGAAGGGCCGGCCTGCATGAATTTCTCTCCAGAACCATCTGAACTGAGAACAGTCATTTCTTGACAAAATGCAGACATGGGACTAATATAATCTCTTCCCCTCCCCATCTCTTATATGATTTTTAACATCTTTGCCTGATTAAGAAACAAGTGATACTTTGAAAGCTTGCAACATGTATCTTTTTTTCTTTTTTCCCCCCTGCATTTGGTTGGCCCAATTAAGTTATCACTGTTGGGTCGATTTTGGATGTTATTGCACTTTGCTACATGGCCAACACCTGGATATATTTTCTCTTTGCCACTGTGCATCACTGTTACCATTTCAATGGGTCAGACAGAAACAGCTAGCTTTGCCAAGAGGAGAGACTAGTAGATGCTGCTGTTGGACTTTGACTCTCTAACCAGCGTAACTGCTGGAGAGGGATGCTGGGAACTGCAGTCCAACACCATGCAGCAGGCTGCTCTTTGCCCACCACTGGCCTAGAGCAAAAGGAGATTCAAGAGCAAAGGGCTACCAAACCCAAATCTGGGGCAAATTCTAGGACCCAAACTCTTTTTGTGCAACACGCTAATGGTTGTACTTTTGCCAGGGCCACACAATGGTGTGATGGAAAGGCACACAAAATCTGCCAGCTCTGAGCAGCTTATTTTCCCAATGCTTTACTGGCTGCTGTCCTTGTGGCCTTTTCCCTCCTGTTGCAACTGTAACTACACATCACTATCACCCTCTTAAAGTCCAGGAAGATTTAATCATGACATGTAACTTTGTTTTATCTATTTGAAATCTTTTTTTTTTCCCTGCAGGGAAAAGAGAAGGAAGAGGGGAAAGCTGCCAGAATGGCGACATAGAGTCAATAAAAAGTTTCTGCCCATGGATTTACAATCTATACCTAGAGATTTGTATGCTATTTGATTTGGGGGACTGGCAAATGTAACAGCAAGCAACACCATACTTTTATCCATTGACTAGAATTCAAAATGACCTTGACAGATTGGAGAGATGGGCCAGAACAAACAAAATGAATGTTAACAGGGAGAAATGTAAGGTACTACACTAGGAAGGGGGGAAAAATGAAATGCACAAATATAGGATAGGTGACACCTGGCTTGAAAGCAATACGTGTGAAAAGGATCTGGACCTTAGTAGACCAGAAAGAAAACATGAGCCAACAGTGCAACACCGCAGCCCAAAAAGCCAATGTAATTCTGGGTTGCATCAACCAGAGCAGGGGTAGGCAACCTTTCCCCTTTAAGGGCCGAGGGACTTCAGCTCCCAGAAGCCTCAGCCATGTTGACCAATAGTCCCATGTTGGCCAATAGCTCCTGGGATTCTGGGAGCTGAAGTCCCTTGGCCCTTAAAGGGGAAAGGTTGCCTACCCCTGAACCAGAGGATAGTGTCCTGAAAGATGCAGTTCCACTCTATTCTCCTCTGGTCAGACCTGACCTGGAATATTGTATCCAGTTCTGCTGCTGCTACACTGCAGAAATAATGCAGTTTGAAACCACTTTAATTGTCATGGCTCCATTGAATGAAATCCTGGGATTTTTAGTTTGTTGTGGCACCAGAGCACTCTGATGGAGAAGGCTAAAGATCTCACAAAACTACAAGTGCTACAATTCCATACTATTGAGCATTAGCAGTTAAAGTGGTGTCAAACTGCATTAATTCAGCAGTGTAGATGCATCTAGGATTGAAGAAGCATCTTGAAAAACTGGAACATGTTCAGAGAAGGGTAAACAGGATGATCAAGCATCTGAAAACCAAGTCTTATGAGAGATGACCTAGGGAGCTGGGTATGTTTAGCTTGGAGAAGGGAAAACTGAGAGGTGACAGTATAGCTATCTTTAAATATCTGAAAGGATGTCATGTAGAAGTGGAGTGACCTATTTTCCTCCTCTATTCTAGAAGCTAGAACATGAGCCGGTAGGTTCAAGTTACAAGAAAAGAGATTTCAAGTAAATATTAGGAAGAACTTCTTGGATGTAAGAGCTAATTGAGAGTGGAACAGACTGCCTGAGAGGATGGTGTCCGGACTCTTCTTCTTTGGAGACCTTAAGCAGGTCACAATTTCTCCGTCTCAGGGGATGGCAACAGCAAACCTTCTCTGAACAAATCTTGCTAGGAAAACCCCAGCCTTAGGGATGCAATAAGTTGGAAACACAACAAACAGGTAGAATGAACAACTTTTAGATCTGATTTAGTTTTGTATTGTTGCATGGCATGGGGTTGGGATAGATGGCCATTGGGATCTCTACCAGATCTATGATTCTACAATTACAACAGTTTCAACTTTTCCTGGAAACTTGCAGTGAACTGACAGCCAACAGCTGGCAGAGCAGCATTACTCCATGGATCACCACTTTAAGTAGCATGGATCTGTGCTGTTTTTGTGTTGGTGTTCATCTGCTTTTTTTCCTTAGTCCTATCCGAAAATGCAAAGATATACAATTCAGCACAAAAGTCAGAATCATACAAGCCATCATATTCCCTATTGCCATGTATGGATGTGAGAGCTGGACAGTCCAGAAAGAAGACCAGAGGAAAATCAATGCATTTGAGATAATGTGATGCTGGAGAAGAATGCTGAGGATTCCATGGATAGCTAAAAAGAAAAAAAGCAAATGGGTCCTAGAGCAGATCAAGCCAGAAATATCCCTAGAAGCCAAGATGACAAGACTTAGACTGTCGTACTTTGGACACATCATGAGAAGGCATGAATCATTGGGAAAGACAATAATGTTAGAAAAGGTGGAAGGAAGTAAGAAGAGAAGAAGGCCACATGCTAGATCAGGGGTCGGCATACCTTTTGGGGGGGCGGTTCTGCTGTCCCCCAGATCATTGGTGGGCCGAAGGGGAAAAAATGGCACCGGAGGTGCACGCTTGTGCTTGCGCACATGCTCATGCATGCATGTGCGCTATTCCTGGCATTGTGCGCATGCGTGCATGAGCATGGGGCACCATTTTGTGTTCTGGGAGTAGTGTGCATGTGTGCGTGAGCACGGACGCCATTTTGGAACACAAAATGGCACCCTGCGTCACGCACGCGTGGCGCGACAGCAGCGGCAAGGCCGGCCATGGGCCGGTTGAAAGGCCTCGAGGGTCCCCCAGGCATAGTTTACCGACCCCTGTGCTAGATGGAGGGACTTTATTAAAGAGACCACAAATATGAGTTTGCAAGAGCTGGGCAGAGCAGTAGAGGACATGGGCCCAGAGATCTCTCATCCATAGGATTGCCATGGGTCGAGACAGACGAGAAGACAGTTAACAACCAATTCAAAATGTAAAAAACAGAGCAAATATTTGAAACTGCCTGATCCTTTTATCAAAGTGAAAATATGCACAAAGATCCGGAATATAAAGATTTTAGAGCTCCGTAATGCAAATACAATAGAGGGC